TAAGCTGAAAGCAGTTTTATATAAAGTAGTTAGCATTATACACAAATAAATTATTCAAGGTCAAAGACAGCTCCTGTAAAACTTGTAAAGGAGCTTACAAGAGAAACTGGATAGAGATATGTAGCAATCTATCTTTTTAAAAAAATCAAAGTGCATATGCTTGCATCATCTTTTATATGAAGGTCATTTGAAAATACAAATCATTCTTATTACTCAAGACATTATGCTAAAAGATAGAGAAAGAACATATATGGTCTTTGATAGAACCCCTGGCAAGATGTCTTGTATTGAATGTGAAAAAATAACAGCATGATACATATATAATTTTATTCAATCCTACTCTCTGAAATTTGCTGAACAGTTCAAATCTACAATTTTTGCTAGGGGAAATCTTAAAGTTCTGATTGACCTTATAAAGTACTTTTTTTATTCTTTAGAGGTCTGTTATTATTCTATAGTTCGAGTTTTTTAACCCATAGAGTCTTTTCTTCTGAATTTGAATTGAAAAAATAAATGTCAAGTGGTAATTACCTGACTCAGGTAGGTTATTAATTTAAATTTAACAGAGACTAACTTGCTATAGAAACTAATCTTGATTGGTGTTTTCAGCTAAATAGATCATAACCATAATAAAATAAAGCAGTATGGTTATTTTTTCAAATGATCAATTTTAGCCCCTGCTTTCCCCTTAGGCAACATCTGGCCTGAAGCTTATTTGTGTAAATAAAAAGTTTTATTGGAACACAGTCACACCCATTTGCATTAGTTTTTGTTGTTTGGTTTCGCTTTAATTATCTATGGCTGCTTTCCCACCAAAAAGGGCAGAGTTGAGTTGCTGCCACCGAGAACACATAGCATATAAAAGCCTGACTATAATCCAGCCTTATAAAAAAAAGTTTACTGATTCCCTACCCAAGCTGGCTTCCTGAACTGAAAGTCCAGACCTGCCATTTTCTAACTTTGTAACCTTGGGGTAACCTTGGGTTAACCCCAGGTTCTTGGTCTGTCATATTTTGAGGAATAAATAAGTTATTATTTGTGAGTTATTTGTAACAGTGTTTGGCACTTAGTAAATGCTTTGTAAATATTAGTGACTTATTACCACCACCACATAGTCTTTCTAATATTGTTCAGTGCAACTAATTTTAAGAAATATACTCATGAGTTTTGGTTATTTAATACAATTGACTATTTTTGGTTGCTAAATATCTTTTCAGTTGAAATTATGTATTGCTCTCACTTGAGAGCTATTTGGTTATATTTAACAAGGAAATATAAGAACATTACATGTCTGAATCAATGTGGTAGATAATTCACCTTGGGGATTGTAAATATCTTCAAACTCTAAAGGCAAGTTCTAGTGAACTATCTAGGCAGATAGTTGTGAAGCAGAAGTGATCTAAAAAGTATAATACAATGTGAAGTGGTCTTAGAAATGTCTTTAATTATAAGATTATAACATTTCCATAGGAGAAATTCGTAAGTTGTGGAGTTTTGGTTTTACTTTGCTTTAATTAAGCAGGCTATTTGATAATGGAGAAAAATGTGATTGCCTGGGTGTCTGTACTTACATCCATGAACTCCACATTTGCCTTGGGACCAGTTGTCTCATTAAGAATCTTAATAGCCACAGGAATCTTCACAGTTTCTCCTTCAGGTACCCAAATGCCCTTTGGGAAAAAAAATTCACATTAAATATGACATCTCAACCTATTAAGTTCTTACAATATAACTTACAAGTTTGAAATTATAACATTCAATCAACAAACATTTATTTACCACTTGTTACATGTTACAAGTTACTCTGCAACTTTGTTGTCTGCTTTCATTATCTGAAGATGACACTCATATATATAATTACATATATAGAATATATATATATATATCCTGCTCTCAAGATGTTTACACTACTGTCAAATTCTACTTGTGTGCATGAAAAAGGCTTTGAATAGTGAAGACAGCATGGAAATAGGATAGCAAAAGAATATCTTATTTGGATGATATCATCGACTTTTTGAGATGGTTGCTCTACTTTTTTGAATCTCAATTGTATCATCTGTAATTTAGAAGACTGCGCTAAGTAATGCTAGAAGTTCTTTTCAGGTTGAATATTATCTAAATATTCAGCAGCAAGAAAAACAATTTAAAAAGCATATTCTCATGTTCTTCAAGTTCAAACTGATTTAAGAATTAATTTTCAACAATGAATGGATTTAGTTTTCAAAGGCAAGTGCTAGGGGATATTGAGCACAGATTAATTTGTCTACATTATTAAAGCATGTGTATACGTGTGTGTGTGAAGGATTTGTATTATTTCGGAAGAAATATAAAATATTTATATTGGCTATTGTTAATTCTCTTTTCCTATCAAAATATAATTATAATATCTGAAGAGGATCTATCCCTTGGGAAAGTATAAAGTTGGTAGAGTTTGAGTGAAATACAACATTAAGTTAAATAACAGCATTTCTGGGTAAAATGAATTATAACATTTGAATGAGGACAATGATTTTGATAAGACATACAAGGATGCACAGGTTGTACAAAAATGCATTTTAAAAGGTGTATTTTCCCAAATCAATGCAAAAGCAAATATGAGATAATGAGGACAAAAACCAAAAAATCTCAAATTTTAGCTTCTTAGCCCTGACATCAGAAAATATTTCTTATAAGACTTTTAACATTAAAATGAAAGAATGAAAAATAATAGTTTGTTATTCCTGAACAAAACATCTTTACTTCATGTCTTTCTTAATATCAGCTGGTTATAGTCATAAAGAAAAAATTTCAAAATTTTTTCACTTTGAACTTTTATGCTACAACATATATATTTGTGTTACTCAAAGTTACAGTATCATCAGGAGGCATGAACACAAGAATTATTTTAAAACATAGTAACAATAATAAAGAAAATAAAAGACTTTAACTTTTAGAAAGTAGTTGCATTCTTCCTAGGCAGAATGAATAGGGAAATCCATGTGTCAAATGCAAAATAATAAGCCAAGTTCCTTGCATAAAATTAAAATAAAATAAAGCAGAAACAGAAAAAAGAAAAAAAGCCCAGTACTCATAGGCTGCATTTTCTCACTGATGTTATCTAAGGTGGAAAACAGGCTTATTATTCATTATTCAGTAGAGTAACCACAGAGAAGGTTACTTTATAAAGACATGGCATCAATATTAAAGTATCCCTAAAGTGTACTTTTACAATAATATAGGCCAGGCATGGTGGCTCATCCCTGTAATCCCCCTACTTCGGGAGACTGAGGCAGGAGGGTCTCTTGAGCCCAGAAGTTCAAGACCAGCATGGGCAACATAGAGAGATGCCAACTCTACCAAAAATAAAAAAAAAAAAAATGAGCCAAGTAGCTCATGCCACATGCCTGTGGTCCCAGCTACTCAGGAGGCTGAAGTGGGAGAATGGTTTGAGCCCAGGAGATTGAGGGTAGGGTGAATTGTGATTACACTACTGCCATCCACCCTGGCCTACAGAGCAAGACCCTGTCTCAAGAATAAATAAATAAATAAATAAATAAATAAATAAATAAATAAAATAAGAATATAAATTCAATGTAAAGTATTTTATATTGCTTTGTAAAATAAACATTTATTTAAATTATTCATTATTTCACTATTTCATTATTCATTCATTATTTCACTATTTTCTGGACCAACTAGTTAAAAATTTTACTATTTGATACCCATGATATTGGACCTAATCTTTATACTTAAACAGAGAATATTTCTAACTAGGAGAAAAAAATAATCAAATAATTGGTTAAGTCAATTTGCATTTCTATGGTCAAGAATAATCCTTTATAGTTTAAGACAGTATGTCTTCATAACAATTGATCTATTGATTAAAACTTAAGAGTCAACCATAGACACTTCAGGCATATAATTCAAAAAAACTGATGAAATGTCCAGTAAACTTTCACTACAAGTAATTTCAATTAATGTAAAACACTCATGCACAATAGACAAATAAATGCTCTTAATACAAGTTAATAAAGGTTTATTATTAAATGTTTAAATCGGTAACATTTTTCTCTGCTGAAGACATTAGATAGTGTTTAGTCTTGAGTTATAGGGTACCCAAGGTTTAAAATAAAATTTAATTTACAGACTACATTATCTTTAAAAATATAGGAGTGATTACATTCTAGGAACAATCCAAGGTTGAGCTATCTTAAAAATGGAAGTATGTTACAATAAATTTAAATTTGGCCATTTATCTGTATCTTTTTTCTCCCTATTTCTGTTTTTCATTAACACATACATTTACCCACTTACTTTAAATTTTGTCAATGCCACATGCAGAATTGGTAACAGGCCAACATTTAAAGGCAGGAAGCCCTAATATTTTTCTGCTGACTTGTCTATGTTTCAGCACAGAAACCTTCAGTTACATCTGTGAATATGGAGAACTGTACCATTTACTAGATAATTCAGGTGGGGAAAAATCCTGCAACCAATCATTAGAGTAGGGGTTTATGGCACAGCTATGTGATCCAGAATGATTGCCAATATGAATCCAATTCACAGCAGTACTTTCAATTTGTCAATTTAAACAATCAAGACTGCAATTTAGGACTCTACATTTATTATCCATATAATTTGTTGATATCATTTTATTATAGAAATGACTACAGATTAAAATTATTAAAGATGTAAATACAATTGCAGTAACTAGATACAAATTTTAAGGGTATAAAATAATAGTCTGAGTCTGGTTTTTTCTAGCATAATGTAAATTGAGAAACAGAAAAATTTGTGTTTCTTTGAACATACATCAAATCTGAAGATTAGAAAAGGCATCAAGTCAGTCTAGAACAGTGCCTATGCAAAGTAGGTGCTCAAACTTATTG